AAAATGTGCCGTTTAGAAAATAGATTTGATGCACACTTTAATGATGATGATAGTGTAGAATTTTAAATTTTATTGATTTTTTTTTTGTTATTTTCTCTTGTTATTGTAATGAATGATTGTTTCTGCAATAAAATATGATGTTTCCTTGATGCTTTGATTGAGGGGGAGTTATCTCCAACTTATGCATATTTTGAGGGGGAGCCTTTATGATTGTTATTTGCAGAGTTATTTTTTATTAAATCAAAATAGGGGGAGAAATATTTAAAGCCTCTCATGAATTGCATTTAAATACTATCTGGTATGTTTAATGTGTTTTTTAGTATGACAGATAAAACAGGTTATTACAAGGCTTTAAAAGATAATTTTGATCATCATCAAAAAGGGGGAGATTGTTGAACATTCAAGGACTTGATGTTGCACTTGATGGTCATGAAGATTGTTGATTTTGATGATGATTCAAGAACTCAAGAACTTAGAAAGTTGAAGACTTGTTTTGTAGTGTAATAACTCTGTATTAATTAGATTGAGTTTGTAATTTTAGTGTTTGAGATAGCCCGTACATAGTCTGAACCTTAGAAGCTTCAAAAAGCTCAAGTTTATCATCCAGGCTCGGCTTTAATCGATTAAATAGGGAAATAATCGATTAAAACAGTGAGAAAAATCATTTTCTGTAACAACTCACTGGTTTAATCGATTAAACCAACTTTTAATCGATTATCAGGCGGTTTAATCGATTAAACCAACTTTTAATCGATTATCAGGCGGTTTAATCGATTAAACCTCCTTTTAATCGATTAAAATAGAGAGATTTGGGTTCTGTTGATTTTTGGCTCTGGTTTAATCGATTAACACTTCTTTTAATCGATTAAACCAGTCAGATTTTGGGTTTTAACTTCAAATCAAACCTATTTTCGATAACCCTATTCCCAAGAACCCTAGTTTCGAAATTCCCAATTCCTAAACCCTAATTTCTCTACTTAAACTCTTCTTTGGCACTCAGAAAAGAGGAACAACATTTTCCATACAAAAGTTAAGTGCTGTGAGTGTCAGAGAACTGTTTGTTGCAAGGAAAGGGGGCTTTCTGAACCTGGTGTGGGCTAGAAGCGATAAGAATCACTAAGTGGAGTTCTTAGTGGATTGTGTGATGTGTCGTCTCTGGGGAAAGTTGTTCTTCATCTCTTGTGGGTTTCAAGAGAGGTGTTATCTTTACTTTATCTCTTCCATTGTAAATTGTTTGTAATAACTTTGTTTATAGTGACATCGTTAATCCTCTGTTTGAGTGATTAGCAACTGGACGTAGGGTCTTTTGATCCGAACCAGTATAAATTTCCTGTGTAAGACTCTATCCCTTTCTCTATTTACATTTACACAGTTTTTAATCGGTAAAATTTGGGGAAAATTTTGAAAACCTAATTTTTATTAAGAAACCAATTCACCCCCCCCTCTTGGTTTTTGTCCGACCACGCGAACATTCTGCTGCATGATTCTAACACCCCGAGCCCTACGTCTTCGAACCCACTTCTAAATTTTCAATCGCAATATTGAATCCCCGCGTCCACTTCTATGTTTTCAATTTTTTTTTTCAAATCACAATTTTATTTTTGCATATTTCAATCACAATATTGGATCTTTGAGTTCACTTCTAAGTTTTAAACTTTTCAAATCACAATATTTGCATATATCCCTGGGTCTACTTAAACCATAATTTTATTTGTCTATTTCAATCGCAATATTGAATCCCCGAATCCATTCTCAAGTTTTCAACTTTTCAAATCACAATTTTATTTGTATATTTCAATCGCAATATTGGATCCCCAAGTCCATTATCAAATTTTCAACTTTTCAAATCATAATTTTATTTGCAGTATTTTGGTGTTCACATCTTTAATTATATTTGTAGTATTTTGGTGTTCACATCTTTAATTATGTTTTATTATGATAATATAAATTCACATTCAAATTATCCAATAAAACTTAATTAAAGAGGGACAACTGTAAACACCAAAAAGATAATATATATAAAAAATAATAACAAAAATAAATAAAGAAAAAAACAGCCACCCTATCGCCACCCTACAACCACCCTAAGCTTCAGCCACCCTAAGCTTCAACCACCCTAAGCTTCAACCACCCTACCTACAGCCTCCCTACTCCAGCCAGCTCCCTATAGGTTACAAAAAAAGGAGGAACACAATCTTGCAAATTAAGCTCTATATAAATTAATCTTGGAAGAACACAAAAGGGGGGAGAACGGAAAAAAAGGAAAAAACAAATCATCATCACGCACCCACCATCACCCACCATCAGAAAACCATAAGTCAATATAACCACAACAATATCTCAGTCAATACAGTCACAACAATATCTCAGTCAAGACAACAATCAATAGAGGCAACCAACATTCAACAAGTTCCCAATTTGTAGTAGTATTTGTATCATGTTCCCAATTTACCAATTTAAATATATTGCACATATTTTATAACAATTAATAAAATTATAACAAAAATCAACAAAAAACCTCACTTACCATTACCACAACGAGCTCCACTGCCTCACCAGTGGCCACCACCAAAACCATCGTGCACCACCCTCAACCTCACCAGAGAAACCTATTTCCCAGTCAATACCTATTTTCCCTTACCTAACCATTTTTCCACCACCATCAGCCACCACAACCTCACCCCAAACCCAAGTTATCAACTATTGCAACCCCTGTCCCTCACCGCCAAGCCACCGTAGTCACCTCCGCTAAGCTGTCTCCCCAAAACCATGAAGAAACCCAAATCGATCCCAATCTTCGTTGTAGCCACCGCAAGTGAACCCTAGCCACCGTATGGTCGTCGCATTCGTGTGGCGCATCTTCCCGGCCCCACGCCTCCACTAGTACCCCTAAATCTCCACCGCTAACCCTAGCCACCATGTGGTTGTCGCATCCGCCACACACCTTCCCGGCCCCGCGCCTCCATCGGTACCCCTAAATCTCCACCGCTAACCCTAGCCACTGTGTGGCCATCGCATGGCGCACCTTCCCGGTCCCACGCCTCCACCAGTACCCCTAAATCTCTACCGCTAAATTGTCTCCCCCCACTCGAAACCACCGTAGCACCTCCATCTCCCTCACTTGAACCCTAGTCGTGCGTGATTCTCTGCCGTGCCTCACCTCAGAGCCCTAGCCCCTCCACGACTCTAATCTCCTGAGGCTCCCATCTCCAGCGCTTCCATTAGGTTTAGGTTTAGGTTAAGAGGAAATGGGTCGAGAGACAGAAGGTGGGCTCAAAATCAAAAACGCGTGGCCCAAATTAGAAGGGGGTGAAAATAACATAAAAGATTTCAAATAGTAATGTGAAAATTTTTTGAGTTATTGGGCTTAATATTTTTTTCTTTTCTATTTTAAACTGAACAACATAATAAAATAAATTACAAAAACAATAATTATTATTATCTTATTATTATTATCTTATTTTTATTATTATTATTATTGTTATTATTATTTCCTTTTTCCTTTATTTAAAATCAATAAATAAGTAGATGAATAATATTTTACATTAGTCGCAATTAAACTTTTTTGTGTTACAACCTCTTTTTGTAATTAGAACTAATAAATTTACAAAGTTATTTATCTAAATATAATTACAATTTTGATTTAATTATTGTAAGATTAAAATTTTATGGTTATTTTGATGTATTTTAATTTGATCATTATAAAAATTATTTTAAAATGTTAAATTTTAGTACAATGAATTTCAAAAGGGTTTAATTATGGTAGTAACTATCTATGACAATTTTAAATTAATTATTACTTAAAATTATATAAAAAAATTAATTAATCACTTTGGATGTACTTTCAATTTGATTATCATGAATTTATAATAATCACTTCAAATGTACTTTTGATTTGATTTTAATAAATACTGATTTTTAAAGTATCTTAAATCCACGTAAAAAGATGATAAATTTAATAATTAAAAATATTTGATTATTAATAATTACTTTGGATGTACTTCCAATTTAATTATTATTTAAATTATAAAAATAAAAAAATCACTTTGATGCACTTCTAATTTGTTTATTTCATAATTATCCTAAGTATATTTTTAATTTATCCACACTAATAAATAAATTTAAATAAATTACTCACAAATACATTTTTTTATAAGAAAAAACTACGTTACTCTAATTCTCCGTTGCACCTAGGGATACCTAGGAGCAGGGAGATGATCTCTATTGAGCTAAAAATATAAAAATATATAATCTTTTATTTATTAATAATATCTAATCGATATATAAATTTGAGGGATAAAATAGATAATTTTAAGATATTTAAATTTTTTACATCTAATTAAAGGTAACCGTTTTTAGAACGGATGTTGTAAGGTGCTAATACCTTCCTTACACATAATCGATTCTCGAACTCAACCTTTATTTCGCATACCATTTTCCTTTTTGAATGTTTTTTCCGATATTTTTTCTTAAAATAAATATTGGTGACGACTTCATTGTTTTTCTTTTATTTAGAAACTTAATTTTGTCATTCAGTCACGATTCTGACTGGGACAATGGGTTATGTTTCTCAACTCACATGTCAACTCGTCTCATTTTGGACAAAACAAAATGAGTTGAAACCGGATTGGGAAGAAATCACCCATTTTGTGGTAGCAACAACTAATTATTCCTATATCCAACCATTTGAGTACTTTGAATGATGATTTAATTTTGTTTTCCAAACTTTTTTCACATTACTAAAAGAACTCACTTTTATCTCCTTATATATTTATTTTTTTACTCCTTCATTTCAAAAATCATGGTTTCATATTTCTACAAAATGATCTTGACATAAAAGTTAACAAGGCTAATGTGCACCATGACATTGCCACCGACTTACAAAGATGATGGATTTGACGTAAAATACAAAAGGATAGTATTCAGGCTTCAAGTCATGCATGTACATAGGATTCTTCAATTACTTTGTTGATGTTTTTCTTAGTTGAAAATACCACCACTTAGTAGTTTACATAGCCACATTTCTTTCTAATTTGTCCTTGCATTCCTGTAAGCACACCTACATTACTAAGCTTCACCATGGATGTAGCAAAATCATTGTAGAAGGAAGATTGGTCGATGCTGTAAGAATAAGCCATGGCAGCTGTCCTACGATCCCGAATTAGTGCTTGGTCAGATTCTAGAAGCCCTGCGTTGTGTACGAGATTTCTATAATACTCATTATCAAACGTCAAGATACTTGTAGCATCCAGAGGAGCAAGGTTGCTGTTTGAAGCTTCTTTATTTGGACACATGCTTTGCAGTTTTGCGAGAAGTGGTGAAAAGTCAAGCACAGGATCAGGTTTGCCAGAACCTTGAAAGTCAAAGAGTCTCCTTTTGAAGGTCAAGCATCGAGCATAACCAATTGTGTGTGCTCCTGATGAAAATACACACACGCCATGTTACTCTACTCATATCAAACATATATGCATCACCATAATAGGTTGCGTTTCAAACATTCGGTGAAAGGCCATGTTACAGCTTTTAAAATATTCCTAGAATTAGAATCACGTTAGAGAAAAGTGAGAAAAGGTTAAGAACCTGAAAGCGCTACAACATCCCTCAAGTTTAGACCCTTTGAAGCAAACTTTGCAATGATGCTGTCCAGAGGCTCGAATGGTGAGGGAATTTGTTCATTAGCTGCTGTCTGATTGGCTGTTATTGCATCTCTTCGGCCTAATGCAACAGACCAAGAAGGCCCTCCAACCTTAAATAGGGGAATGAACAGAGACAACAATTGTTTACGTCAAATAGGTTGTTAATTAAGGAACTTTAAGGTAAGACAAATATGAAGACAGTGTTTCTTTTACCAGATCAATAGCTTCCCTAACTGCTAAGGCTAAGATATCAGCGCAGGAAACTGTGTATGGACATAGCCTTTCAACTTGTTCTTTTATATGATCAATGACTTCAAGTCCCCTAAGTGAATTGCGATTAGGAAAAGCATTCTTTTCGCCCGTGAAATATGGTGTATCTTCAAGAAGCACAGAAGCATCGCATCCCTTTCACATGTAATTCAACATATTATTAATCATTCCCAGTTCAAGTTACTCTGATTTTATTAGCATGCACCTACGATAATTACAGAATGCAAAACAATGTTAAAAGGGGAGAACTATTGTGTAGTTTGAGAACATCTTAAACTAATATAAATAAGCGAAAATCACAATCCACAAGCAAATATAGTTTTTAGTGGTCAATTTTTAATGTTAGTAATATACCAAATTTGTTCACAATGATTATAAAACACCGAAGTTTGAAAGTACTACACACAACTATTAATAACCTCACTAACATTCACCAAAGGAATAATAACCTCACGTTTTAATTTCAACTAAGGCAACACACATACAATACTAATTAGTGAGGTATATAAAGTATGATTTGTAGGATGACAGAAAAAAACACAAGACCATGTTAATCAAGTAGTTGATTTTGAAATTTAAGGATTAACGAAATTGAAAGAACAGAATTTACATTTACTATGCAATCGTGAAAGTGCAGTCGAAGGAGGGATGCAGGCATTCTGTTGTCATTTTTTATGGCTGACCAAACACCATATCTAACAATGGTGGGAAAATTAGGGCACGATTCATCGTAGAAATTGATGTCGAGCTGGGTATTACTTATGGTAAGCATACGAACGAGAGGAAGGAAGGTAAGAAGCAAAAAGAAGAAGAAAGTGAAGTAGATGAAAATTCTACAACTCATGGCTTCACAATGTTTACCAGGTAAAGAAGGACTTCACAACTTCAATTTCTTACTACATATATATTGATCAGTAAGGTACTTCTTATTTATATGGAAGCAGAAAAAGGCAAGGCAATTAGTGGATTTTTATTTTTTTTTCCTTTTGTATTTTTATTATTAAACTGTTGAGTGAGAATCAGTTAAGTGGAGATAATATATTATAATTAAACAATGTTATTTTAGTATTAGAAATAGTGATGAGCTAACACAATTTGGTGTCAAGAACATTTTCTCTCTCTAAAGTGTACAAAGAGAGTTCAAATCAAGGTAATTAAGAAATTAATATAAACTAATACAAGCAAATAATGAAGGTTAGTTGATATTAAGAAATAATTGAACCATCTAAATATTCATAAAATAAAAGGCTCACTAAAAATTTTATAAATAGTACAAATTTTAAGGTATGCACTTAATTAATGTTAGTATTTATTATATTCCTTTATCATTATCAGAGAAATCTCATGTCTTCGAACAAATTAAAGGAATACATACAGTAAAAAGCTGTATAAGGCGACACAAGGAGTGAATTTAAGAGTAATATTCAGTTTTGCACAAATAAAAATTTAATAAAAAAAAAACAACTAATATACCTCGTTGCCAAGAATATTTATTTTTAATAAAAATTAGTAAAAACAAAAAACAAAAAAATTAGTTTGTTGTCAAAGAATATTTCTTCCTCATAAAAGTTAATGATAAAAGAAAACGTATAAATGTTATACTAAAAATATATAATAATCTTTGTAATTTATATATATATATAACAACAAAATTAGTTTGTTGTCAAAGAGTATTTCTTCCTCGTAAAAGTTAGCGATAAAAGAAAACGAATAAATGTTATACTAAAAATATATAATAATCTTTATATATATAATTTTTTGTCTCCAAACTTAATTATATTAAATAAATTTATCTGTATATTTATAGTTTTGATATCTTCTATTTTTATATTTATTTATTATTTATTAATAATCTCATATTTTACCGATCAATTAAAATATATTTTGATATAATTTTAATTTAATTTAACTCTACGAAACAAAGTTATAAATTGAGTATTACATTCTATTTATATATTATAATTAATTCGTATATTTTTTAATTGAAATAGAATTTCTAACTTATATGTAATAGGATATATCTCAATAAATTATATTATTTATGTGCAATGGAATGTCTTATAGAGTTCATTGGAGAAAGAGTTTATGAGTGCCACTACCATTATTGCTATTGCTAAAACATAATTCGCTCAAGTACTAGTGGTTTTATTTTCATTTTTTAAACTACGAGTATCTTCACCCAACATAATTCGCTCAAGTACAGTAAAACTCCTCTCACGTTCTTATATAAGTAAATCGATATTAAATCTATTTTTTTATATTTTATTTATACACTTTATTTAGTTTTTTTTAAGTGAAAAACACTTAAAATCTTTATATACTTTTTTATATTAAAAAAATTATCTCTTCTTTATGTTTAAATTCCAGCGTAATAACTGTTTTCACCTGTCACCAAATTAAAGATTAAATTTGCATACTTTTCCAGTTATTAAATTTATTATCAATTTAAAATAGAAAATCCAAATTAAGTTTGAAAAGAATTTCCATAAGATTATTCTCCTCTGAACAACACTTTACATTAACTGAAAACGCTATATACTGAATTGTTACAAAAACTAACTTCCTTAAGTTGTCTTCACTCATCTTCTATTTTGTGTGAATTGGTTTATCTCATACTCATAAATAGTTTCTCCAAACTCATGAAGGTGGGATAAGAGAATTACAAGCAATAGAGTATAAGATTATAAGTTGAAACTAATTGATAAAACTATCTTAAAAATATATGTTTTATGATTGTTTGTGCTACTTACCCAATCTTAAAAAGAGTATAACATAAATAGTAAAAATATTAGAACTTTTTTGAATATTTATAAATTTAAAACTTTTTTGAAAAGATGGAGCTTGTATATAAAGTGCACAAATAAAATATAAAAGCTTTTGTGAATTGAGCTTACATGTAAAGTGCACAAGGAGATGTGTTTGAGGTTATTAAAAGAAACTACTTATAATATTAATTGTTTCTAATGTAGTGCTATAAGATGTTTCTAATTGGAAAATATGGATCATGTGCAAAGTGCAAAGATAAGGGTCTACCCACACTTCAAGAATTTTATTATATCTCAATGCACTTAAAATTTAATTAAAAGATTTAACCTAACAAAAGTAAAGAAAAAAATAAAAATAAAAAACTTGTGTCATGTTGATAAGAAAATATGACAAAGATCACATATATGAAAGATATTGATCTTCCTTCACATACTAAAATATCATTATCACTAGGTTGCTTGTAAGTGCACTTTACAATAATTATTTTGTAGCCATAAATGCACTATCAAGTAGACAAAGTGGGTAATTAACATATGCACCCATAACTTCATTTCTCATTATTAATTCTGGCTATATTTTTTTTATTATGGGTATCTTAAAATTTATTCGACTAGATACTAACTTTTTAGTAATATTGTGACTCTCATTAATAAATAAGTATGATTAATTAATGTCAATAAAAAAATATTGTACTGTTGCAACAGGTAGATTTATAAACATAGTTTATTTAAGTTTTTTTTTTTTTTTCATTGAGTGTAATGTATATGGTCTAGAATTTTTATAATAGCACGATGCAAAACAATATAAGCAAGTGGGTAAAATCGATATAAATAAGATTTTTTTAATGGATATCTGTAGATAATAGGTACGAATATTTCTTTTATTTTATTGTTTGATAGTTATGAGTATCAGAATATTTATATCGAGAAATAATCACTATTAATTAGTAATTTCACATATCTATTGTTTAGTTAAACTTATGAAATTAAAATTATTTAATAAAAAAATAATTTTATTTAAATTCATTTTTTTTGGTATAATTTATTTAAATTTATTTTTTACAAGATTTTATTATATTAATATTTTGTGATATAAATTTATTTAGATAATATAAATTTATATTTTAAATATTAATTTTTTATATAATTTTATTTAAAATTAAAATATATTTACAAGTATTTATGAACACCCTCACATATAAAATAACAAACAATTAACTTTTTGCGGTATTGTCAAGCATACCTTTTTAGATAATTGAATTAGAGACGTGAAACATTATGTTCTGCTAATAAAAAAAATTATTATAGAATTTTACAGGTTATTTTTAATGTAATTTTTTTATAAAAATAGTAAATTGTATTGTTAAATTATATTAAGTAATAAATAAATATATTTTTACAATAAAATAAAGTAATAAAATATTAAATTCATTTTGAATTATAAATTTGAGCATTGACTTTAAAAAGTAAGGTTTCATTCTTTCCATTAATTCACTAATTATATTATTTTACTTCGGTCATTTATAGTGATATTCAGGCATGCATTACGAGAGTAATTTTAACTTTTAAGGTTTTTATAATGTTTTCAAATTTAAAATTTTGTTATTATAAATATTTTATTAACCTCAAATTATATTTAAATTAAATTATTTTTATTTTAAATATAACAATTACTATTTTTGTTAATTTAAACTAAATTATAAGGAAGTTAATTACAAATTTACTATCATCATTAATTTGGAATTGAAAATTTAATTGTTTAATTTCTCTCAAATAGTTTTGTTGTAATATTATAGTTATTATTATACTATTATTTTCATATTTTATATTAATTTAATTAATTGAAAAAGTATAAAAATGATATATTTTATATAGTTCGTAGAACTTGATATTTTGATGAATTTTTATCATAAGAACTAGTTTTATCATAAGTAAATTTAAATCATCTCTCTTATATTATTCAAAACTTTATTTTAATACATTAAATTTAATATATAAAAAATATTTTGTATATTTTTTAGTTTATTTAAAAAAATAAAGATATTTATTTTAACATTATGAGTTTAATACTCGTGAGTATAAATTACATTATGGACCAATAAAGAAGAAAAAAAACATTGGAAGTATCACTTTTAAGATAGACAGTTAAAGTGTAACAACTCAACATACAAAACATAAATTTTATTTGTGATTGATTCACAGTGTAAAACTATTTTACACTTTTATAGTGTAATAGTGCATAATCTATTTTCTCTTAAATAATTAAACATAAATAATATTTACCCCATATTATAAAGGTTTAAATACCAGCTACAATATAAATTTTAAATAAAAACGTACTCATATTACGTGTCCAATAAAGGTCAGTTTTTTCTTAAAATAGAAAATAACTTCATTTTTATTTTTTAAGAAAAATTAGTATAAAAAGTAAGATTATAAAATATAAAATAATTTATTTAATGTAGTTACCAAAAAGTCAATTTGTTGCTCTTATTATGTTGAATTTTTTTTAATTTAATTAATATATATTTACTATCAAAATTTTAATTGTAAATATTTTAAACTTATGGATTGGATGGTGTACATAATCTTTTCCATTCTTGAGAATCATAATGGAATGTGAATCATGTTTCAGGTTCTATAATTATGCTTGGCCTGTATAAAATATACTTAAAAATAAAAGAAATAATTTAATTTATTTCGAGGACATTCTTTTTTTTTATTTTAAATTTAAAATTATTATTGATTGTTTATTGATTTTTCTTAATTTTTATCAGTTATTATTATTATTTATATGATTTAAATATTTATAATTTTTTATTATCTTTTAGTTATATTTTGTATTTATATTTAGTGAAATATGTAAAATATAAATATTTATTCTTATATATATATATATATATATATATATATATATATATAATTTCATAATACTACATGTATCTAGAGATCTTATTTTAAAATATTGAATTAATTAACTAATTTTCTATTTTGTATATTATTTATT